ACACGTTTAAAGGGGGGGGGGGGGGTGTTCAACCCCCACCCAGCAGGCTGGATCCAGCCCCCAGAGCCATGTCATCCAGATCATGGGTCATCTCATGGAGCCTGTAGGGAGCCTGCAGGCCGTGGCACTGTGTGCTAGATCCGATGCGTGGGATGACATGGAGCCTGGGGAGCCCAATTCTGGCCAGGCACAGGTGGCACAGGGCCCCAGGGCCTGATCCCAGTGGCTGCATGTGCATGTGCATGTTGGCATGGGGAAGTGATGGCATGGGGCCTGATTTGGCCGGTTGACCGGCCCTGTGCCATTCATCTGGCCCACTGGGCCAAAAGTGTGAGCGCTGCTGCTTCACGCTGTTGTAAAAAGCAGTGGGAACTTGCCTTTTGAGTGCAAACCTGGCCCGTCTGGATTTACCTGCCACGCTGGTATGAGCGAGCGCAATAGCCAGCTCCAACCTTGGAAGCAACCCCGCACATGACAGGGCTTCAGCACCACTCCCAAGGGTTTGGGAGCAGACAGACACAGGGCTTATAGCAGACTATTTTATACCAGTATAATTTACTACCGGTGTAGCTGGTCTGGCTGGGCGGAGCCTCAGCACAGGCCGCAGGGCTTGGGACAAGTCCGTCCAGCAGCCCGTTCTGCATTTCCCCACTCCCCCTGCCGTGAACACGCACCTGGTGAAAAGGAGGTCGGCTTCATACTTCAGGTGGAAATTCAGGAGGGCAGAATTATCCTCTTTGGTGGTGTTTCTTTCTTCGCTGTCACTGAAACGCAAGAAGCCAAACAGCCATGAGGGCGCTTGGTCCGGCAGGTGAGACTGTCTGCCCTGGTGGGAAGATGAATGTCCTAACTCTACCACGTGGAGCCCAAATGTGAGCTGGGACCCTGCCCTAAGGTGCTGACAGGACTATAAGGGGCTGCCAGGTTAAATTTATGACCTGCCAAAAAAAAAAGAGAGCAGCTCTTATTTGGTGAAATGAATTTATAGGCAGACAGGAAAACCCTCCAGAGTGCAACAAGCGTCTGCAATTACTCTTGGCTTGCTGGGTGGGGCGGGAGGGGGAGTAGGGAGCCGCGGCTAGGTGGCCCTGCTGGAATAGGCATGTAGAAAAGAGCATTTATAGCTGACCCGGCGTGATTCATGAGTCCTTCAAAGAGCCGTCCTCCCTCCAACACCAGCGAACGTAGGAACAAACATGGCCCTGTGTCCGTGTGCGGTGGTGTTTGCATGTCCTGGTGTGTGCGGCACGTGGTCCCAGCTGATGCGGAGAACAATAACTTGTTGCTCCGTTTGTAGGATGTACCAGGTCACGCCGGACCCACGTGTTCCTGGGATTCGCCTGTGCACGTGCACGTGGGTTGTCAGTGCCTACTGACCCAGAAAAGCTGCAGGTGGAGGTAGGGTTTCCTGCAGCAGGACTAGCAGTGGGGACAAGAGGGCCAGGGGCAAGATGGGTACACACTGCCTGCCCCTTTGCTTGGCTCAGCAAAGGGAAACACCTGCCTCAAGTGCAAATGCACTCGTTTAGCTGTATGGCACCTGGGCCTCAGCCTTCACCCACTGAAAGCAGCAGCGAAAGCCACACTGGTGTTCATGCTCTTGCTCTTATTTTGCACCCTTTGGAGACCAGTTCTGGACCGGACCGGGCCCCCCTGTGCTTTCCGGCAGACGCATTGGAGATACGTGACGGGCCAAAGCGGAAACACAGACAAGCCTTTGCCCTGGTGCGTTTGACCCCACCATGGCCCCCGCGCAGGGAAGGTAGGGACAGGTTGTGAAACGCTCCTTGGGGCATGCAACCTCCTCCTGAGGATCCCGCAGCACGTACCCGCCTTGGCTACCCTCTGTCGTGATGACTGCCGAGAAAGGAGAAATCTAGCGAGAGGTTGTGGGCCTGTCGAGAGCCTGCGCTTGTGCACAGCACGACACGCGGGGCCGGGAAACGGGAGGGCCGGTTTGCGGGGAGTGACGATGTGTGGAGAAGTGGCCGGACACTTTCCATGCAGCTGCAGAGGCTGGCAGATGCAGCCAGCCTTTGGTATCGGCACAGCCCTGACTTGCAAATACAGCAGTGAATATTTCCGAACAGCCACGGGTAATTTCGTTTCCGTGTGTCTGAAGGGCAGAAGCCGCCAGTTGTGCTTCACCAAGCTAATAGGGACCAAAGATGGAAATGCGGGCTGTTGTCAGCGAGCGACAAAGCATGGGGGCCTCCGTACCCTGCAAACTCGCTCCCGCTAGAAACCACAGGCTGCAATTGCTGAGAGGGGCAGGAGGTGAAACCCATCGCCAATTAGGCTGCAACAGGACGGGGAGAGGAGAGGCTCTAGGAGACGAGATGCATGCAGACAGTGTCGGGTTGAGTTAGGCAACGGAGGGGATAAACACACACACACAAAAAAGGGGAACAGAAAAATAAAGTGGTCATTAACCTGTTGGCAGTCAGATAAATCTCCATGCTTTGAAGGAAAATAGACTTGCTGAACTCAAAATCCAGGCGAAAAGCCACCTGCGGAGATGAGAAACAGATTGAAGAAAACACTGACAAAAGAGACTCCTGCAGCAGCTGTGCAGCACCCCAGATACCCCCGTCCTCTCCCGTTAACCCCTCCACGGTACAGTCCTCTAGTACAGCACAGCTTTCCAGCTAGTCCCAAAGTGCAAGAGAGGAACAGGATCGTTCCTGACATGATAAGGAAGATGTTGGCAGATGTTGAGCAGACTCCTGCCTTTCCACGTGACATAGCTACCGGGATTTCACTTGTTTGTGCATCTTATTATCACGATTAGGGGGTTCACACTGTTAGTTTTGAATCGAGAACAAAGAACCACGATTAGGGGGTTCACACTGTTAGTTTTGAAAAGAGAACAAAGAACCCCCTTTTTTTTTTTTTTTGGTATAAAAAGCATCACCTGGGGCTTACTGTGATGTGCCGTTAAGTCACATCTGAGCCCCTGGCTCCTCGGAGCGGGGCCGTGAGTGCTAAAGAGATGGTCCAACAGCAATAAAATGTGACAGATGTCAAGTTTGAAAACGCTGTGGCAATGACCTCAAACTGTCTAGGCCTGTGCACAGCTGATTATAATATTAGAGCTCTGCTCCTGCTCCCAGGGCCAAATTTCCATTCCCAACTTGTCTTTGTTTTGGCAGGACCCGGACTACCTGATGCCACGCAGATGCATTCTTAGGCCCGTTAGGTCACATGGATTTGGGCTGCTCCGCGTTTGTTTTATGGCCCCGAGCACACAAGACTGCTTTATGGCGAGGTTTAAATTCGAGAAAGGGGCCCGAAGGCCATCCATCACTTCCAAAGTGTCTGAGAAGCAAAGGGTGTGGAATAATATATATTGTTTCACGTCTAGGAAAGATCTCACGGCGGCCTGCTGCTTCCGTAATCCAGCACTTCGGCCTCTCAACCTGTTTTCCTCCTACTGCCGTGTTAAGGGAGCCGATCTGTGCACTCACTGTATTTTTTAAGGTGATTGGGTAGTTTAGTCCCTGCTTGAAAGTAGAAGGGAAAAAAAAAACCAACTAGGGAAGTTGGGCAAAGTGGGGAAGCCAAATCTGCCGCCCGTTCTGGAATGAAGCAAAACGGCCCCTGCCATCTTCCTCCGGTCCGGTCCAGGAGCGGCAAGGGTTAGATATGGAGCCGGGTATGGGCTCTGAAGCCGTCACGTAGGGGATGCAAGAGGTGAAGGCATGGGCTGGAGACCGGAGTTCGTGCGGAGCAAGTTCCTCGGTCTCTCTGAGCATCGTTTCCCTCCTGCCGGCTGCAGAGCAGGTGTAACACGAACGGTCACAAGTGAAGTCCGGTTTGAGCCCAGGTATCACAAACTGGCTTTTAATGAATGCCCTTGAAAATACTCGATTGACATCTGGGAAAAACCAGCCGCCTATAATGAAGACGCGGTTGTGCTGCGAAGACCGCCACTGATGACTTGAGCTGAAACGGCTCAAGTATTGTGAGGGTCCGACTCCAGGACATCTCCTTAACGCTACCAGCCGGGTGTTGTTTTGCTTTGATTTTTGCCAGTCTCCCGGCCGGTCCAAGCAGACTTGGGTTTGATGAACGAGGGACATAGCGTCCTGTCAAAACGGGGAGGGAGAAGAATACGATCTTGCCCCCGCTCACCGGAAAAAGGTGACTCACTCGCTAAAACGGGAACGGCCGTGGTAAAGTATTGGCAGCAGTTCACAAGGCCAGCCTTAAACTGCACTCGAGGATTAAAGGCAAATGCTTTGACTCAGCGGGGCTGGTTTTCATTTTGCTGCCTGAGGATCAGCTAGGATTCAAAGCCGCTTTTATACAGCTGCAACCTCTCCGCCGGCCGACCGTCCCCTCGCGCCGCGCTCAGACACTGGGGACATTGTGAAGAGCAAAAGAAAGCAAATACGAGTTTTCGAAGCCCTGTACACATCCGTCATCGGTGCATCTGATCCGTAGCAAGGGACTATGGGGCAGCAAGGGTCTCGGGGCAGCGCGCCGAGGGGGTGGATCTGGGGGATCCGGGGGCTGAATCAGCAACTGCAGCCCCCGGGGTTTCTGTAGGAGCGAGCAGCATGCGTTCAGCTCGCCAGGAGCCCTTGCCTTTGCCGTCAGCGTGGCTGCGCGCGGTGCAGAGTGGCAGTGCCATCGGGTGGCTCGACTGCAGCCGGCGGAGTCTCTCCAGACTAGCTTTCCTGGTGACGTCCCAGCCCCCGGTCCCCAAGCCAGATTCAACCTTGTCGGGGCATGTCTGCAGGGGCTGCCGCTGCACCTATGCCCGGTCCCCTCCTGCGGGCTCTTCCCAAATGCTGCCAGACCGTGCCAGCCTACCAGGACCACCTCCAAAGAGGATGGAGATAGACTGCTCTGGCAGGACAAGGAGCAATGGGCTCAAGTTGCAGCGAGGGAAGTTCAATTTAGGATTTTAGGAACAACTTTCTTATGAGGAGGGTGGTGAAGCACTGGGATGGGTTACCCGGAGAGGTGGTGCAGTCCCCATCCTTGGAGGTGTTTAAGACCTGGCTACACAAAGCTCTGGCTGGGATGATGTGGTCTGCTTGGAGCAGGGCGTTGGACTGGATGTGACCTCCGGAGGTCCCTTCCCAGCCTCATGGTCTATGATTTTGCTGTCACAGACCCCTCCACGGCCCCTGGGCAGGGGACAGTGCTCTCCCTGTGGGGAAGGGGGTGGCCACCCCAGAGCACCGCATTTCATGTGAATAATTAGCAACATCTCTTTACCTTTGCCTTGGCTCGGAAGAAGGGGTAGCTAACGTTGCACACCTTCTTGTTCAGGTGCTTCTCCTCCGTCACGCACTCGATATTGATGTCGGTATCGTCCTGAAACGGGAACAGACCGTGTTCGCATCACCACCAGCACGCAGAGATACGGCTGCCCAAGCCCCCTGACAAACCCAGCCCTCGGAGCCAGTCACACCGGCTGGAGGACCTTCTAGCTTACGATGGAAAAAAAATGAAACGCCATCTCTTGGAAGCCAGAAATCCTTCCCATTCGGGTCTGTTCTCGAATCACAGCCGCAGAGAGGGCTCTGCCCAAATCTAGTCGGGCGAGTGAGATACGCTGACTCAAACTGAGTATTTTTTGGAACCAAAGTCACAAAGAAGACTATCTTTCTATGATCCAAGGTAGTAAGGCAATATCACATGGGGACCACGTCCTAGCGATAATGCATTTAGTTGGACTGTAAATTCTTTTGGGACATCTTTTTAATCCATGTTTGCATATCGAGCACAGCGATGCCCCGGTCCACGACTCTGCCTGCTAGATGCTATCACAATACGGAGAATAATTAACAACACAGTAATAAGATAGATATTCTCATCAATCATTCATCGCTGCACTATGTGATAGGAAAGGGCCAATAACACATCCCCTTGCCCTTGTCTGTTTAGACTTTTGGATGTCTAGGACAACTATGGGCTCTTCTTACATGTTTGTATAGACCCTACAAGAATCCCTGACCTCAACAGCGAACGCTAAGTGCTATTGTTAGGCTCCTTATATCCTGGTAGATGTTTTTATCCAAAACCAGTAGTTTGGAGCATGTTAGCACAGCTGAGCATTTATAACTGGGTAAAGCGATTTCTACAGGCTCATCTGTGTCATGCTGTTCCTGTTTCCCCTGGGTATTTGGGAGTCATCTACTAGAGAATGCATAGGAGCCCCCTGCATTTTTCTTATTTTGTGGGCACCGCGTCCTACAATTTTCCTTTGGCGTGACTTTTAAACCAACAGGCGCAAGACACTCGATACCCAGGATGGTTATGAAGTCATTCAGTGGATGAATGAAGCCTCAGCAAGATCAGCACATTTACCAACATGCTGGTTTTGGAGTTTTCTCCCTCCCAGGACTTCCCCTGGGTGCTCGTTGAATGGTGATGCGCAGCGCCGTGGGCCCTCAGACGTTTACTGAGCAGGATCGGGGCGCTTCGTGGCTGGGACGGCAGGACACGGGGGAAGGATGTCTCAGCTCAGGTTTCCGAGGGGTGCCGGGGAAGGAGAGGGGAAGCTGAGCTCTTTGAGAGCCAGGGATAAAAAGTGAGCCCTCTCACCAGAAGCCAAGTCCTCACCAGTGTCAAGGCCTTACGGGGTGATGCTCAGATGCCGCAGTGCGAGTGCCGCACGAACGCTAGCGGACAGGGAGCGATGACCCAGCAAGAGGCTGCATGAGCCCGGTGCACGTTGTGGTGCATTCACCACGGAGCTTGATGCAGAAGGAAAACCAAGCCAGAAACACAGGGCAAAGGGACCATTGCCCAACCCTCAGCCAGACTCTTGCTATGATGAGAGGAGTTAGGTGAGAGAGTCCAGCCCCCGGGTATCAGTGAGAAGCTGAACGAGAGGCACGGAGGTGCCTTTCCGGGGTAGGGTACAGAGGGGCTTGGGTGGGGAAGCAAGGACAAGAGATGGGAGCGATGAGAGCTATGCCTTAAGGACACATTCATACCATTTCCAGGCTGAACCTGGGAGCACCCCCAGGTAAACCTCACACTGCACCTCTTGGTGGGGTAACCCTGGCACCAGACAGCCCCTGCCATGCAGCAGGAAACCCTAAAGTCTCCTACACAGGGTCTGTTATCACATCCAGATGGAGATGGGTCACCGAATCCAGACTGTTCAATGAAAAATGTGTGTGTGTCACTGGAAACCTCCCCCCCGCCGTGGTCTCTAAGCAGGACATGCCGCTCAGGGGACCCAGAAGATGCGAGCCCACATCTGGAGCTAGGCTAGCAGCAGCTGCCTCAGCGAGGGCACAGCCTGCAATTGTGGTTCTGTGCAAACAAAAGAGCTTTGCTCTTGACCATGAAGGGGCTTGAGGTTAGGCGTGGAAACGCTGCCTCACTTCATCCCCCGTAGAGGATGCCGGATGACAGAGCGGGTGACACTGCTCCTACCATACGATGCTTATAGATGACTTTCCGGCTGTTCTCTTGAGCTGACTTTGAGCTGTGTCCTAAAAGTCCCGACTGATGCACAGATGCTTGGACCAGACTCCCCGTTCGTGGAGTGGCTGCGGTGCAGTATTGCAATGGCATCAACAGGCCCGTCTCTAGCTTACAGCTGGGTTTCCATGATCAGCCCATCTTCCAGGGGAGTTATAACTCAGCTGCAAAAATTTATCACTGACTCGGACTTGGCCACCCACCCCTGCAGCTTGGGAGCAAATATCGTTTAAGTTATAGGACAGCAAAACCAAAAAGGGAACCGAATTTATCAGCCTTGGACTTGACTGTTGGCTCTCGCATATAAGAAACATTTTTATATTGCAAAAACAAAGGGCCAAAGGTACCTAATAACTCAACCCATTAAAAACTGGCCAAACTCTCCGGGATAGGGCAGCGACTGACTTCGGCTCAGCACCAGATGTTTTGAAGCAAAGTGCAGGATCTCTTACAACAGACATAACAGACGAGCCAACACGTGGATGTTTTTTCCCCCATCACCGAGCATGGAAGTTGATATCCCATATTGCTCTTTTCATCATCTCTGACATAATTATGGAAGCAGCAGAAGTGTCCACTTCTGGGCCCAGCTGTTACCAGGCAGCTCAGGGACTGCAGTCGAAACTACCTGCCCTTCTTCATAGCCCAGACGTGACTTGGGGCTGGGTTCAGAGGGACGTTTGGTCAACAACACCCTGGCCTGCTCTTCTGTTTTCTCCATCCCCACAGGAATAAGCACCTGCATCTATTGCTCCCTATTACAATTTGGATCAGGAAAGCTCTAATCTGTCCCTCGAGTACTTAGCTGAAGGACGGGGCACAGATAGCATGGATGAAGAATGTAACTCTCTTTCTGTTAAGGTTTCAGTGCTGTCTCCGAGGCATTCAGTGGCTGAGCCCCGGGTATCTAAAGTCTCCCGAAAGCTGTGAGATGAAGACAGTGGATGACAGAGGGTTTCTGAGCACAATGGGACTTTCTACAGCAAGGGCAAGGCTGGCTTGTGGGAGGATGGGACTGGAGTGAACCCCTCTGAAGCTCTTAAGGCTGCTGGAGCTAAAGGCAAAACCTGACCAGCGTCCAGAGGCAGGACCAGCAACACGAGAGACTAGTTGGATTAATAGTAACAAATGCTTTTC